ATAAAAGACCACGTATTCCTAACTTAATTTTTAGTTTTCTCACTCACATTTTATTCTAGTAGGGAAGGAAGACAAAAGAAAGGTAAATAAGTATAATGTATAGATTATTAGATAGTGATTGTTGCTAAAGAGAAAAAAATAAAGGAGGAATGAGGTGGTGTAATTTGGGGCAGGAAGAAGAGTATAACATTTTAGATAAGAGTTCAAGGAAAGTGTCTCTGGGAGGTGAATGTGGCATTCACACCTGCATGGTACGAGGGCACTAGCCTGTGGCTGTTGTGGAGAAGAACACTTAATGATGGGGTTTCCTATAGAATAAATATATAGTCTTAATTATTGTGAAGCTCTTCCCAAAGGTGGGGGATGGCAAAGAGTTTTATTTAAAAATAGATGCTGTTCACAAACTGAGACACATACCTGGCTCAGTGACAGAGAAGGCACAGCAGCTGGCAAGAATGTAAAAGAGAAAAGGTAAGGAAAAAGTAGATGAATTGGTGGGAAGCAGCAAAGCAGCAGGCAGCTGGGAAATGATGCAAAGGACAAAGATTTTGAGGTAGTGTCCTAAATCATAGCAACAATCATTATAACAGCAGGACAGTGAACATTTGTAAAGAGTATATGAACTCTTACAGCCTGGAAGAGTCATCTCATGGGATCTTGAGTACTAAGTAAAAGAATCACCAAGGCAATGTCAGACACTTCTACAGCAGAGTAGTTTCCTGAGACTTTATTTCTGTTCTGTTTCCTTTATTTTGTTCCTTGCCTTCAGTGGCAGATGGAGAAGAGATCTTCTCTGGGATGCAAACATTAGGGCCTCCGAGTTCCCAGGAGACAGCAGGACCTGAGACAGAAATGGGTGGGTGGTGGAAGAAAAGACTGTGCATGCATGGCACAGAAGCTTTAGTGTCAATTCAAGGGGTTACCCAGACTTGGGCAACAGACATGCCAAATATACAGGGAGATAAGTATAAATTCAAAGCCAGAGGGACTCATCAAATATTCCACTCCAATTAATCGCTGATTCCTTCACATGGGCCATGGAGGTTGTTATACGAATAACAGTGAGTATAAACCAGGAAGATTCCATTTCCCTACAATATGGTTGCTGGGGGGTGGTGCAGTGGTCTTAAGAAAGAAAAAAAGTCATTGAAAGATAACAATAAGAAAACATTCATAACCATGAGCCTAGCAAAAAAAATTAAATTCATTAATAACACTGTTAGCAAGAGTGTGTAATGAGGAAGACTCATACACTGCTGATAGGACTGTTACTTGCAGAAGAACTGGGCAACAGTGTATAAAACAATGAAGATATACACCCCACCCCACACACAAAAAGATATTCACACCCTGTGCTGATTATGGTTTGGATCTGGGTCCCCACCAAAATCTCATGTTGAACTGTAATCTCCAATGTTGTAGGTGGGGCCCGGTGGGAGGTGATTGGATCATGGGGGTGGATCCCTCATGAATGGTTTAGCACCATCCCTTTGGCTGTTTGTTCTCCTGATAGAGTCCTCAGGAGATCTGGTTGTTTAAAAGTGTGTGGCACCTCCTCTGGCTCATTATTCCTCCCACTCCAGCTATGTAAGATGTGCCTGCTTCCCCCTTTACCTTCTGCTACGACGGTAAGATTCCTGAGGCTTCCCCAAAAGCTGAGCAAATGCTGTCATGCTTCCTATACAGCCTGCAGAACCATGAGCCAATTAAACCTTTCTTCAGAAATTGCCTAGTCTGAGGCATTTTTTAAATACCAGTGCAATAACAGATTAATACAGGAGATAAATTGTTTTATCTTCAAAAAAGGAAATACAGAAAAGTATTCATTGCACTATGATTTAGAATAAAGATTACAAAGAATTTTCATCAAAAGAACAAAATTGTGTTCATATAATAGAATACTATATAGCAATGAAAATGAATTAACTAAGTCAACCTGTACCAGCAAAAACCTCAAAAAAAGGAAGAGCAAAGAAAGCAAGTTACAAAAGAGCATACAATATGATATATTAACATTAAAAACTAAAAGATAACACTAGAGAGACAAAGCACTAATAAAAAAGGACTGGAAATTAAAATTTATCTCATAAAATTTAATTGTGTGTCTAAACTTAGCCCTTTAGAAAATCTGGATCTCTTTCAGAGCATGCATATTGTTATCTTAAAATAATTTTTTAAACAATTCAATTTAGGGATGTAAATCAAGTATTTATTTTAACTACCAGAAATGCTCAAATCGAAGTAGTTGGAAATTCATCAATGAATCCTGTCAGGCATATAGCTGCTCCCCTACCTCCCCACTAGGATGAGAGGAAAAGCTTCAAACCATGGTGTGCAAATGGCCAGAGCAGAACTGCACAGCAGAATGGCAATGTGCCCAGTAAGCTCACTCTCCCTTTCAAGAGTCTCACAGTGACAAGCCAGGCTATATCTGAAGAGAGAATCAATGTCATGGAGAAGCATCAACATGGCATCAGGAGATTTTCTAAGCTAAATCCCAAAGAGGTCTAAGGAACCATTGATTTGTGAAAGTAAGCTTCTATTCAGAAACAAGAGTCAACAAGAGGTAATAGGCCAATATTGAAATGAGAGAAAAACAAAATTGTATCATATTCTCTCATATTAGCCAATAAATAAGCATCTTCCATTTTCTAATGATCCTAGTGGCAAAGAGAAAGATGAGATGCAGTAAAAGGTTCAAACCATAATTAGAAAATATATTTTCAAAGCTTAACAATAAGAAGCAGCAGGATAACACTAAACCTGGCCTCTGCTCTTGTTCTTCCTCACAGATGCTCACTTATTAAGTCCATATTTCAGTTTCAATACCCTTTAATACCACCTAATCCTTGATCTCCACCTAATTTGGAAAACTAAAATTAAAGATTATGTTTAAAAGTTCATAAAATAAATTTAAATGATTCTTAAGTTATTTAAAAAGGTATAAAGGAAAGTTAGGTATCTTTTTGAAAATATCATTAGGGTAAGTATAATGGCTGTAGTATTATAAACACACATAGATTTTTTTTATTGAGATACAATTCAAATACCATAATATTCATGACTTTAAAGTGTGCAGTTCAGTGGTTATCAGTATATTCACAAAGTTGTACAACTATAAGAAACTGCGCAGTACTTGACATAAACAGATTCAGACACTATGGGGCCTTTTGTGCATGCCTTTCATTGGGCATAATGTTTTCAAGGTTTATCCATGTTGTAGCATGAATCAGTACTTCATTCATTTTTTTGGCTCGATAATGTTCCACTCTTATAGGTAAGCCACATTTTGTGTATTCATTCATCAGTCGATAGACCTTTAGGTTGATTCCATCTTTGGGCCATTATGAATAAAGCTGCTATGAACATTCATGTGCAAGTTATTGTATGAACATATATTTTCAGTTCTCTTGCAGTTGCTGAGAATATGGGAATTCTACATTTAAACTTTTGAGGAACTGTTGGACTATTATCCAAAGCTGTTGTCCATTTTACATTCCCGCCAGCAATGCATGAAAGTTCTATTTTCACCACATGCTTACCAACACTTGTTACTGTCTCTTTGATTATACTCATCTTAGTTGACATGAAGTGGTACCTCAGTGGTCCTGACTTGTTTCCCTATGACTACTGATGCTAAGCATCTTTTCAGCATGCAGATTTTTAGAAGCATATTTTTTCCTGTATAGTTTAGATTGGCCTAATAAGTGCTACAACGAGTTTTTAAATTCTTGTCTAATTTTTCTTACATATTTAGATCTCATTAACAAATAGTTAATGAGTAGTTTGTGACTCAAAAACTTTAATAAAAAAGTAAATATTAAAAAATTATACAGACTGATATAAAATTTTATACATTTATGTATTTATAATACATAAACTTTATCCAGCATTACTAAAAACTGTTAATCAAAAGAACATTAGAACTTTGGGAAGCTCAGGTGGGTGGATTGCTTTGAACCCAGGAGTTTGAGACCAGCCTGGGTAACACAGCAAGACTCTGCCTCTACAAAAAAAAAAAAAAAAAAAAGCAAAAATTAGCCAGGCAAGATGGCATATGCCTGTAGTCCCAACTATTCAGGAGGCTGAGGCAGGAGGATCGCTTGAACCCTGGAGACAGAGGTTGCAGTGAGCTGAGATCGCACCACTGCACTCCAGCCTGGGCACCAGAGTGAGACCCTGTCTCAAAAGAAAAAAAAGAGAGAACTTTATGATAAGAATAAAATCTGGAAAAAGCAGTTCAATGTCTTACAGCAAAAGTAGCAAATAGTAGTAAGTGAGCTAGCCCAGTTGTTCAAATGCCATGTATTATTTCTCTAGAAAAATATACTGATGCTAATAACTGTTTCCTATTTGTAAGTTTCTAAATTGCTTTAACACCTACTTCTGTGACCTTTTTACTTGCTAGACCAAAGTAAAACATTAACTTGAATTATATTCAGAAACATTTCATTATTAATTTAGATACAAGAAAGTATACTTTCTTATATGACAAAATACATTACTGTCCAAACCCAAGACAAACAAGACATCTGTACAATCAAAGTTCATGTGGAGGGTAATCTTTAAAACACAGAAAATTCTATCAAAATGTTTCTATTTTAAAAATCATAAAATCAGAAATCAAAAGCTCAAAGTACTGCTGATGGCAACAGTTAACTCATTCAGTTCAGGATCACTCACTCACCCAGGGGTATGCTCACTTTATCATCTAGTAAATGATACCATAGTTTTTCCACTGGAAGTACCAAACCCAACTGGTGAGCTACGTTAACATTTGTGAGTGTGTGTGTGTTTTCATTGTTGTTTTGTTTTTCGTTGTCTTGTTTTGAGATGGAGTCTTGCTTTATCACCCAGACTGGAGTGCAGTGGTGTGATCTTGGTTCACTGAAACCTTCACCTCCTAGGTTCAAGTCATTCTCCTGCCTGAGCCTCCTAAGTAGCTGGGACTACAGGCGCATGCCACCATGCTCAGTTAATTTTTTGTATTTTTAGTACAGACAGGGTTTCACTGTGTTAGCCAGGATGGTCTCCATCTCCTGACCTCATGATCCATCCACCTTGGCTTCCCAAAGTACTGGGATTGCAGGCATGAGCCACTGCACCTGGCCACTTGTGTTTTTTCAGATGTTCTGATCTAACCACCCCAATAAATCTCCACTCTCTATAACATCTGTTCATGCAAGTCTCCCTGCTTAGAATTTTCTTTTCTCCAGTTTTCTTTTCCTATGCCACTGTCATCTACCTAGATCCAATACAAATTCCCTATTTTATGAAAACCTGGTCCTGCCCATTCCCTCCACCCAAGAGACACAGCACAGATCAGTATAGGCAATTAAATTCACTGGTAGGTAAAAGAAGTTTGATTCTGAGGAATCAAGCATTACCCTCAGGCTTGCAGCACGGCTGACTGAGACTCATACAAGGCCAAGCCCTTCCACATAAGCCTTTATGAAGTTAAGAGTCAAGTCAAAGAGAACAATCTCCAAATTAGAAGGCAGAAAGGTAGTGGCAGTCCTCTCCAGGATCTCTAATGAGTTAGTTATTATTTATTCATTCACTCATTCAACATTTATTTCACCTCCTCCTCAGTGCCAGACCCTGAACTAGGTGCTAAGAATAAAATAGGAAGATGGTTCATGCACTTAATACCTCATATTAATCATGCACTTACTATGTAACAGCTGCTCCTCATGCACATTACTAATTTTAATTATCACAACAAGACCCTAATGCTCCTGTACCTGTCCAAGCTCACAAAACCAACCAGTAGGCAAGCCTAAATCTGAACACAGATGTGTCCAACTCCAAAGCCACTGAACCACAATGCCACAAGTAACTCAGTGAGGAATTATGAAAAGTATAAAATATATATTTTAAAATGCAATAACTGTGTTCATAGCACATAAAATTAATGTCTATAATTTCCATGACAGTATACATTAATATAATGCATATATTAATTAATGTATATTAATTATATATAAATGTATGTTATATTAATTTTAATAAAGAACTAGTCTGGATATTTTAATTCATAACATAATTTCTTTAAAAAATGCTATATATAGCAGTGATCAATTTAATACTGAGTTTTTACAACACAACCTATGTGTAGGTTACCAACTTCCTACTGTCAACTAAGAGATCTGTTTTGGAGAAAAGAGTGAAATAAAAGTCACTTTGAGTACTATTAAAAGGAGAAAACAGCATCTCATAAGTAAAGTTCTGTTACACACAAAGCAGAATGGTACTACTCCTTCTCTCCAACAAAAAAATGATCTGCCACCACCTCAACTCTTAAAAAATGTAAATGGCTAATGCCTCAATTTTATCAAAGAAAATATTTTCAAATCCAGTTTGTAACTATAAATATAATTTACCCTAAGTATAAATAAGTCCTATAAAATAGATTTTACAACACTCAAAATAATCCTCAAAATTAACCTGAGAAAAATAAAACATTTGCAACTTGATATTTTAATGTGTGACATGTAGAACAGCATGAAATGTCATCACGCTACATTTTTCAGTATAATGCATAAAAAGTGGCTATAACAGGAATTAAAGCCGCAATTTTGAATAATTTTTAGCATTTTCCTTTCTGAGCTGGAAAAATCAAGCATGAGGCATTGAGAAGAAATAGGTCTACAGTATTAAGAGATGTTTTATGTTTATATAATATCAAGACACCTTAGTTATGTGTTTCCTATGCTCCAGTTTGCAGTATCCTAGAGATCTAGTAGATTTTTGCTTCTGTTAGAGTCCATACTTTTGCCCTTGGTTAAAAATTATGGGTTTTTTTATACTTTGAATATACCATATCTGAAATCAAACATGACAGTTTTGCTGCAATTTTATGAAGTTTTATAAACATTAAACAACAGCTATTTGAGTAGGAATTTACCATTGCAGAATGTAAACTGGCTAGGCGCAGTGGCTCATACCTGTAATCCCAGCACTTTGGGAGGCCAACACAGGAGGATCACGAGGTCAGGTGATCGAGACCATCCTGGCCAACATGGTGAATCCCCGTCTACTAAAAATACAAAAATTAGCTGAGCATGGTGACACGTGCCTGTAGTCCTAGCTACTCAGGAGGCTGAGGCAGAAGAATAGCATGAATCAGGGGGTAAGAGGTTGCAGTGAGCCAAGATCACACTGGAGCAAGACTCCGTGTAGAAAAAAAAAAAAAAAAGTAAACTAACATTACCAGTGCAAACGATCTAAGTTTACAACTTTAACACTATAATCCAAGGACACAGTTCGACTTCATAGGGTCTATAAATAAGTACCTTTTGGCCAGGCACCATGGCTCACACCTGTAATCCCAGCATTTTGGGAGGCCAAGGCGGGCGGATAACGAGGCCAGAAGTTTGAGACCAGCTTGGCCAACATGGTGAAACCCCATCTCTACTAAAAATACAAAAATTAGCTGGGCATGGTGGCACACAGCTGTAATCCCAGCTACTCAGGAGGCTGATGCAGGAGAATTGCTTGAATCTGGGAGGCGGAGGTTGCAGTGAGCTGAGATCACGCCACTGCACTCCAGCCTAAGTGGCAGAGCTAGACTGTCTCAAAATAATAATAATAATAATAATAACAATAATAATAATAATAAGCACCTTTTAAACTTGATGGCAGCAATAAGGAACTATTACACACTTAATACAATAATTGGGTTTTTGGATTTTTAGAACCAAGATTCACTGGCAATTACAAGGAAGAAAAAACAATACATTTTATGTAGACTCTACTTGGCATCTATTTTTCTACATATCCAAAATGTAATTTAAATGATCATTTATAATATATGATTCATATTCTCTACTACCAAAAATATTTTTAAAGTACAAATATTTTCTCTACAGTAATAGAAACTAAAATTTTCTTCAATTTAAAATTGATAATTTTCAAATTATCAATATTAGAATACATAGTAGTAATTTTATTTCTTATTCTTATATATGTCTCATATAAATCATATTTATTTAACAGCACGCTGGATCTTCTTTGTCAGGAAGAAAGTATCATGAGAATTGTATTACTGCTTTATTTTTTTCTAAGAGGAAATACTGAACAAAGACATACTATATAAAATACAATCAACTGAATAAGAGTTTGTTTTTTTACAAACTGTACACATAAAACGCACTAATACTATGCATATCAATACCATGTGGTTTTGAACTTAATACTGAAGTTTAAGATTTAGTAAACATTCCAAACAAATAAGAAATTATATTTGCTAACTTTAATTCCCCAATATGACAGGCTCTGCTTGTTCTATTTAGTGAAAATTACAGAGTTTTCTTATGCGGTTATCATTTGATAGCCAGAATGTTCTATTATCTGTCCTTCATAAAGTACAACATAAATGGAAACAAAGTGAATTAAGCTAATAAAACACTGCATTACTGTTCACCATATTTTTCTTCAAAATCAACTATAAAATATATCAGTAACTAGGCTTACTGAACCACTCTGCAATTATAGGTTCTATAACAGTTGCAAAGGACAACCAAATAGTAACAAAGGCTACATAACTAGGCCACCCACACAAAACGTGTAAACTCTACTCATGGAAGAATGGTAGAATGCTCTTCTAGAATAACATTTTCCTGAGACTAGAAAGTAGGTCCTGGATCTTCCCATGTCCATTTTGTCCAAATGGATAATTGCTCCTCTGGTATTAGCCGACCATCAGGAGTCAGCAGTCCCTTAAGCATAAGTACAACATGAGCTCAGAAATCAGCATCACAGCTACGGAGAACTTCCTGTAGGACAGCCACAATGATACTGCCAAAGAGGGGCTCTGAGAAATAAAATACCACCCAAATGAATGACTACATTCCCAGGAAAACAGACTTATCACATCAAGATTATATAATAGGAAAAAACTCTATGCATCATGTAGCTCGACTAAAATGCTTAGTTATCTCATTCTTACCATAACAAATTATCTGCCAGACAAGACCTTCAAGGTCAACCCTGGCAACAATTAAAAAATAATGAAAAGCATTCATCCCTGAGGCAGAGTTAGAATGTTTTAGTTTGAAGCAATGTGCTGTATATTTTATTAGCTATAACTTGCTTAATTATTCATTGTGACTCTTCTTATATTCCATACAGAAACCTCAGGCTGCTCAGATTTCTATCTGAAATCTTTCTTTTCCCTTATTCAAGGGCAAATGCCTTAAGAGACCAAAATTTTTGTCCACCATTTTCAACTGAACACAAAGGTGTATCTGCTTAGAATTAAATACTAAATGAAAGCCAGAATGAAAGTGCAAGGGAGAGAGGAAAGGAGGAAAGAGAAAGACAGATACACAATTTCATCATCCTAAATGAAGTCTGACAAGACTCTCCACAGAGGTCCTCCTCCTGCACCTCAGCCGCATGTCGCCCCACCCCACATCGCCTGCCTCCCGCAGACATCTTGTGCCGCTCTCAGTCCCTAGGACCTGCTGTAACCTCGAAGGTTGACCAAGGTTTTGTTGGGGCAAGACCCTCACATTCCTTCCCATCATTACTCAGGATCATCTGAGTTGACACCACAACTGCCTCCTTGAGTTACTTTCAGGCACATTTTGCCGCTCAAAATGGAGCAACTGTCATCGGGTTAATCATCTGCCTGTTTCAGATATGCAGGGGGTGTGCCAGAGGTGCTCTCTGCTGGAGGCACAGACAGGGATAAGCAGAGGACCCAAGGTGGTCCTGTACTGGAATGCCAACACAAACAGAGGAATGCTATTGGTGTGTGCAAGATGGAAACCACTCTAAATCCCCCCCCCAACCCCCAGGAAAGGAGCTACTTTAACACCAACAACAATGAACCTGGGAATAAACTCCCCTCACTCACATGAAATTGAGGACTTCTCTCCCCTCTCTCCACAGCTCTGAATGGGAGTGTTCAAAAAAGAAAATACAACTTTAATACCAAAATTAACAGGGCCACTCCCTTGTGTGGTCACAGGTCTGAGCCGCAGGTGAGTCTCAAAGGGGTAACATTC